ATAAACGCACGATCTCTGTATAATTAAACGTTAACCTAGAGGAATTTATTTAAACATTTACGTTTCACAGTATAGTGAACTAAGAGAAATATACTCAAGAGAAAGCCCTGTAAAGTTTTAAAAACAGTAAATGAGGTAATTCCGGACTCTTTGAGAAATAAGTGAATGCTTACACGGAAGTTTTTTGTGTTACTGATCCACATGTGTGACTCCAGTGTTCTTCTCCAGCTGTAAACCAGACTTTTCCTTTTTGTGAATGATTAAGGTTAAACCTGGGTGAAACACATGGTTACATTGTTGGCTTCAGATGTTAAGTAGCCAACTGTAAAGTCACCCAGCACTGATTATTCATGTCCATGAAATGCCTTTCCAAAGAAGATGCAATAGCCCATATTTGTCATAAACATGAACTGGTATTCAAACTGCCGATGACGGAACATCAATGTAAATTTACACTGTCTTAATTACCCTTATTATTATATATATATATATATATTATTATAACATAGTTCTCAAAGTGTTTCTGTTCAATCACTTTTAAGTGCCAGCTTTTCAGGGAATGTATTAAGATGCTTTCAAGCTGACATTTTTCATGAAATACAAAAACACGTCTACTGTGCTTAAAATATTGGTTTCATTATTATTATATTTCTCATTTGGAAATGGGTTTAAATCAATATATGTAATTCATTCATACATTTTTACCTCCTTAATATCTCCAGGTGGTGTTTTTTTTATGATTATTATTATCAAGATTATGAACACAAGAAGTAAACATCACCATGACTGTGCATTTTCTAAGATTTAACTGAGGTAAAAAGGAAATATCGAAAGCGGAGAATGGAGAGTGACTAGACGCAGACAGGCTAACACATACAGGCTGGGATCATTTGCATATTGATAGATGTTTTATGTTAAATAAGGCAAGGGTAAAGAGTTATATTTAAGCTATTTAAAGTATCAGGGTATTATTTTGATGGTGTAGAAATTTTAAATGTGTCATTTTGAACGGGTGAGTTTTTTAGGGGCTTAATCAATGCTCGAAGGGGGACTTCGCTGACACCACAGTAACTTTCAGTCAATGTTCATGTCATTTACTAAGCCAACTGGCGACTTATTTGGGAATTAGCTCCCACAAATCTTCATGTTAATTGAGAAGGGTCAATGGCGTGTGTCTTATTTCAGATTAATTCTGAAACTTTGCCCAAGGAAAATGGAAATTTGGACACTAATGACACTCATAAACTGTTAAATTACTTTTCATAACCAAAACGACAAAAAAACAGCATATATACTATGTCGCACAAAGTGCTAGCATTAGCATTAGCACGTACAGCTAATTGAGCTGACATTGCCGAATACCAAACTGAAAGGACAAATATTAGAATTTTGAAAGTTCCTATGTGGTGCAGAATTCAATTACATGTTCAATACTACATTTGTGATATATCAGGAAAAATAGTAATGAAAGAATACATAAGACTTTGTAAGATGTAAAACAGAAAAAAAAAAAAACGGTGAAGTGTTATTACCTTAATTTCTGGTTAGAAATGAGCTAATCAGAGGTCAACCAAAAAAACTGTTCTATTCTACTATGCCACAACATTAGATTTACAATTTTTTTCCGTTGCTTTGCAATTTAGTGTGTAACTTTTCCAGGATATGTGAGCCTTGTAAGTTTTGTGTTTCACAAAGAAGAAAGGGTTGTGTGTTTCGGACCTTGAAAGTGAAACACATGCATCTGAGAATGTTCTTTTTTTCTTCAAATCTCAGTCACAACAACACAAACTAATGCCACTCTTTTGTTGGCAGGACTTAGTTTGGTGGAGAGCTACCCGTATGAGCCAGAGGAGAGGGGCTCAGATTATGTTCGTCTGGCCTCCATCGCTGCAGGTGAGTGGGAGAACAAGTGTTTTTATCCGTTAGCAACAATTATTTGAAGAAACAAATAGAAAATTTTTTATGTATACTGTATATATATGTATATATATAGATATATACATATATACTGTATATGGAATTGAAATAACCTCTTTCAGGTGATCGCCAGGTAAACAGAAAGGAAAAAAGTAAACCCAGTTGTGTATTCTGCATAATTTTTAAAAAAATAAAGGGGTGGTTTGTGGGGTGTTTGAGGAGTTACAGCCCTCACTTTTTCTCTGGCTTGCCTTTAAGCCCGTGGGCAGGCCACGGGGTTGGTATGTGCTGCTTTTTACCCTCAAGGCACGGATTAATTACCTATTTACTTTAATGCATCAGACAGAATAAACCCTAGGGTGGAATGACAAAGAGAAATACTTTGTATGAGGAAAACACAGAAACAGGTGGAAAAGGGCTTGAAAGAGGCAGAAAACAAATATGAGGGTGAAAGATAAAAATAGACAACCTGTTGTTGAACAAAACAACACTTATATGCTTTTTGAAGCTTCACAAAAGAGAGAGGATGATTAAAACTGAAACAGAGTCTGTGAAGCCTAAAATGACTTAAATGAGGGGATTCTGAAATGTAATCATGCTCAGGGTTGTGTATTTCTTTATTATATAGAATATTATGCACATTTCGATGATACAGGTCAGGGATGATTCATTTTTATGCATAATAATTTCATTAGAGGAAAGATGTGATGTGATTTGGTTCAATGCATTCTGATACAAATCAGCATTTCTTTAAAGTGAGTGTTCTGTTTCAAATAGACTACATAAATAAAATAAGCTATTTATAGTAGTGTAGTGTTGATTGGGTTTCTTTAAAATAGATAGAATTAATGAACGAACATCATAGCATGGGGGTAAAAGCATTGCAAAGTTGTTTGACTTTTCGTTATTAACTTGATACAAAAGTCAAACACACGACCGTTGAAAAATATTATACAGCCACTAAATATCAGATGACCAACACTGTCTCTCACAAAGCTTATGTTAATGTAATTCATTCT